TCCTAGTGAATCTATACTATATATTTAAACAACATATTGAAGAATATCTGGCTTGATTGCTATAGAAAAACTATTTAAAAAACTAGTAATAAATGAATAATAAATCATTTACGTTAGAAAAAATTTCATTTATTTTTTTTTTAACAATAAATTAATAACGATCAGGTTTTCATAAAAAAATTAACAAAATATTTCACACATCAAAAACATCTTTTTTCATTCTTAAAATATCTGGTAAAGTTTTGTATTTAAACTACTAAGTTACCCATTGTAAATGGGTTCTATAATATATTTTTTCATGTCATACTTTATATTAGATATCAATGGTTCTGTACAACTCATGCCAGACTCTTCAATTTTATATATTTTTTTATTCTATTAATAAAGGTAAATAATATGTGCTAGAACAATATGGATACAATGTACAGCTGAATTAAATAGTTATACTACATAATTGAATATCGCTAAAACGTTACTAATGTTAATTGTGCAGTTTTCTTAGTTGTGTTCATGGGTAACTGAATTTTTTTTTTGTAGTCTTCAAGGGGCTAAGTTCCAAAAAACATCGAGAAACATATATCACATTAAATCTCGTGACGTTTTTGATATGTTTTATGTTTCTAAATATCATAAAAGTTTTTTGTAGGCATATAATGATAACATGATTAACAGTTGTAACAGTTATAGAAATAGCACTAACGATGATACTATAAGCAATAATAACAGCAATTAGTAGTGCAATAATAGCAGTGGAGGTAGTTATAATAGCATTGATAATTTTAATAATAGTTGTAAAAATATCGTAAAAGTTATAGTTTAATAGTGAGTCAAAGATTGACAGAAATCAGTGAAATAATATTAGTTTGGTGACGATGGTATATTATAATTGCAATTGTAATTTATTTTTCAAATATTAAAACAAAATTATGAAAAAATGAATTATTTATGTATACGTAAATTTAATCTTCATAATTAATAAAAATTGATTATAAAAATTTATGTAAAAACAATATAAATTTTAATCAAATAACCTGTAAAAATAATTTCTATGATACAATATGTTATAATCTATATAATATTTAAATAAGATTTATGTTCTGTGCAGAAATATAAATTTAAAAAAAAATTAATAAAATTGATTGTAGTAGTTGATTTATGTAAAAACATAATATAATAAATTTTAATTAAATAATATTTTAATTAAATTTTAATTAAATAACCTCTAAAAATAATTTTAAAATATTTTTATGATACAATATAAAATCTAAGATAAGATTTGTTTCCATCTCTGCAAAAAATAAAAAAATTATATTTATTTTTTGTATATGTAAATATATATATATAAAATGATGTTAAAAAAAACATTTTTATATACAATAAGAATATGAGTATGGCACAAAGAGTTGTAAAGAAAAACATCAAATATTATTATTAACTTAATACAGAATAAATATTTTAAAAAGATGTAATCTATCTTTATTATTTAAAGATAGATATTCTTAGTTTACTTTTTGAGATTTCTGTTTACTATGCATATTTTTTTGGAACCTTTCCCTTTGTATTAATCTACACCGTCCATTTGTATATTTTGCTTATATCATAAATACAAAACTCCCATGAAGAATATTCTTAAACATCACTACATGTAAACTTAAGATTGCAATGTATTTGTAATTTCTCGATGTACAGTTACCAAATCTTGTATGTACCCAGCTAATCTAGCATTTAATGTATCCAAATTTTGTTTTTGGACTTTATTTGCACTTAATGCAAGTTCTAATTGTTCATGGACAACCCTTAACATTTCACGAAGTTCTTGATTTTCTTTCTGTAAGGCCTAAAAAATAAAATTATAGATTATTTGAATGTATAATTAGATATTTCACTTAAAATAGTATTTTTTTAAGTTCTTCTCATTATTAAAAAAAAATTATTGAATTATTATGCTTTTTAAAATCATTTTAAACAGATAATAATTAATACAATAAATCTTATTTATAAAATAATATTTCATATTTCAAAATCATTTGAATAATTATTAATATTTAATAATATTATATCTTATAATATATACATACTACAAAATCTTTATTTTTTGTAGCTATAGTAAGAGCTTTGATTTCTTCATTTTTTGTTCTAAGTTCACTTTCTAATGCTTCAACTCTCAACCTTAATGCTTCACTATTGCCTTCTGCTATTTTTCCAGCTTCTAGATCTGCATATTTGGCCTTGATCCTTGCATTGTCTTCTTTATATAATTGTAGTTGTCTTTTCCATTCATCAACATTAGCTGTAGATTCTTGTAATGCACTTGTTAATCTGGCATTATTTGTTTTTAATGTAGTTAATTCAACCTATCAAATTTTTTATAATGAATTATATTATATATTATATAATTATATATAATAATTAATTATATAATATGTATATTTATTTTAATATATATTAAACCATACCTCCCATTTTTTAGCATTTGCAGAACTTTGTGCTAATGCAAGTTTCAGCCTATCATTCTCATACTTAAGTTGCATTTCAGCCGATTGTCCCCCTTGTGTTGTAAGTTGTGCTGATTTCCCTTGATGTTGTGGACTTTCTGTACTCTGCTGAGAAACACTCTGTGATCTTGAATGGACTGTATTTTTCAATTCATCATCCACTTTATTTTGACAACTACCAGGTAAGGGACTGCTGCTTACCAAAGACACACTATTTTGTGTGGAAATCACGTTGGCATTTGGATTGGGATTATTTGATGCTGACACATTGGAATTAATCATCGATGAATTTGGTGGATCTATAAGATCTTGTTCTGATGATGGCATACCCGATCGTGATGTAATTGGGCTAACATTTGCACTAGTAGCAGGTGTAACAGATGAACTGTTTGATTGTAATTTAGCACTAGCTAATTTAGTGGCCTCCTTCACTTCTTGAAATTTCTCTATAAACTGCCAAATGAATAATATTATCTTTAATATTGATATATATATAGTTATACATTAAATTAAAGTACATTTCACAAACCTTTCCTAATTCTACTTCAGATGAAAAACCAAGACCATATATAGTATTAGCTCTAACATCTGACCATTGTCCAAATTTCTGTGATGTTTTTGTAAAGGTCATATTTGGAGTAATAGTGCTATTTATTACTGCCTAAAAAAAAAAAAAAGAATTAGATGATTTTTAAATACATTACAAATTTATTTTTTTATAAGTTGGTTTTTAATTACCTTTGTTCCTTCTACAGAAATTATTCTGTATAAACTCCTTGTTGAGTCATAAAAAAATGAAATAGAGACTGCTGCTGTAGATGCTGATACCCAAGATCTTTTTGTCTTAGGATCAATATGAAACACGTGTGCTTTACACGTGAAAATTGGTTGTTCGCTGCAATTTATTAAAAGCAAGAAACTTAGGTACTTAAATATATTGATTTAACTTATACATGCAGCATCTATTTATATCTTATATTCAAAATAAAAATTATAGGTATTTTAATAATAACGAATATATATCAATATCTTGAAGTTTATTTTTTTTTGTAAAACATATTTTATTACATGTATATTCCACAGAAACATAACAAAATTAAGTACATTAAAAAATGTCAAATATACATATTATTTTACATGCCTTAAAATTAATGGAATGAAAATCTAATAATGTTACAATTTAATATTATAATAATTCGGATTATGTTATATAAATTTGGAAATCTAATAATGTTACAATTTAACATTATAATAATACAGATTATATTGTATAAATTTGGAGGAAATCAAATAAAATAAATATGAATGAGCATCTTTCAGTTATATTTTTTATAAAAAACAATTATATTTTTATTTAGATATTTTAATTTTTCACACATGCAATATATGTACAATTTATATACATTGTTTAAAATAAACAATTTTAATAAATTTATTTCATATGAAAAATAACTACAACAAAAATAATTAATATTTAACAAAGTATTTAATAAAATATAAAATCATTTATAAAATTAATTTAAAAAAAATTTTATATAAAATTTTTCATTTATTATCAAAAAACGATATTTGAATATTTGCTATAATTAATATATAATTATATTAAAAAACAGTAGGATAAATATGTAGTAAATATTTCTACAATTCACAGAATTGATTTTCATAATTTGAATTTAAAAATATATCAAATAATGCACGAGTAAACAACTAGAATAAACACATTTCACGCGGGGTCGACTTATCCCACTTTCGCTATTTTATTTCACGGTTATATATAGATAAAAAAAAGAAAAACATTGTGGTCCAGAGTCTTCTTATGTACGCACCCATCTAAATGCGTAACTGCGATGATGTCGAGAATATGATAGTAAATAGACAAGAAAGGATAGCACTATTCATTAGCTAATACAATGAAACCGACCTATTTTATATCAATTGATGGTATTCGGTAATAAAAAAATTAAGAACAGTTTATCGTATTTATATGCGATATGAAAATCATACTTTGTGTGTACATATATTACACACCCTTAAAAGGCGGTGCAGAATACCACCACGTTCACTTACCCCATTGTTTCTTTGCCCGATGTCATACAAATGTTGTAAATGCTAATTTCACAGTCTCATAGAAAAATCAATTCAATATAAATGCGTAATGACTATTTACGAATAAAAATTTTCAAAATTATTTAACGATTTATAAAAATTTATTCGACAAAAAGTAGAGGTACACCAATTGACAGCCGCCATCGGCCAAAACTGTATAGTGAACGACAACGATCACGCAACAACATGAAACTAGTCGAGTTTCTACCATATACCTGGATTTAATCGATTTTCCACGAAAGGTTGCTATTGCTAACCTCGTAGCTTTCTTTCAAAAAAATCACTAGATGCATTTGAATCGCAAGGCGCATACTTATGTTCCGATAATATGTTTTGCATTGTTATTTGGAATGTTGGTAATATAGTTAACGGTGTTTGAATACGCGACCATTCTTCGTTACATATCGAATCATCTCGTTGCTTTTAAATCTTTCACCAATAGCGAGCAATGAATAGAAGAACAACGTACAAAATAGTGCCATTATCTCTATCCTTATCTTCTGAGTATGTATCTTGTTTTACCTGAATACAATGAAAGTGCGCAACGTTCAGTGGGTGGGGGCATTATATGAGAAAGAGAGAAAACAAGAGGGAGAGAAATTGTTCGTCTTGAAAGCCGTCATGGCTGATTCATCGTGAGTGACTCTTTCAGGAGTACGATAACAAATGACATTGTGATTGAATCATTAAGTGTAAGAAGTACAGTGCATGGAATTATTTTTGAATCAAAGCGATAATCTCGATGTGGAAATTCCACGAAGAAACGTGATAAACGGCGTTTTCGCGTGCGCGTAACTTCCCCGTGGAACGATGAACGGGTTAAGTTTTAGTGAATTGTGTTGCTTGTTTTGCTGTCCGCCTTGCCCGTCCAGAATCGCTGCAAAACTAGCGTTTCTACCTCCTGAACCTACGTATGCGTTTATTGAAGATGAAGGTTCCAAAGTTACAATTTCTTTATCCGAAAGAGCAGAATGGCAATATACAGAAAGGGAGAAAGAATCGGTAGAAGGTTTCTATGCAAGAACGTCACGAGGAAATCGAATAGCCTGTTTATTTGTACGGTGTTCAGCTACTGCACGTTTTACGATTTTATATTCCCATGGAAATGCAGTCGATTTGGGACAGATGTCTAGTTTTTATTTAGGACTTGGATCGAGAATAAATTGTAACATATTTAGTTATGATTATTCGGGTTATGGAGTTTCTGGTGGTAAACCGTCAGAAAAGAATCTTTATGCGGATATAGATGCTGCGTGGCATGCTCTTAGAACACGTTACGGTATTAGCCCGGAAAACATCATTCTATATGGTCAAAGCATCGGGACTGTACCCACAGTCGATCTGGCCGCGCGATATGAGGTTGGCGCAGTTGTTCTGCATTCACCTTTAATGTCGGGAATGCGAGTTGCTTTTCCTAATACCAAAAGAACTTGGTTCTTTGACGCGTTCCCGAGGTAGGTTAAACTTTGAAATACATATATCCCCCTTTATTGTGTTAAATGAAACGCGATCTATAATCCGCTTATCGCATGCTGTGATTCGCACAGCTAACTTTACGCGCATGACACTATCATCCAGTTCAGGTGTACATCCATACACGTGGTACAGATATAAATGTATATATATATACAAACACATACACATAAGTATTTAAAAGAAAATTCTATATTTACAATTTAAACTAAGTTTAACATAAATTAAAAATCTTTATTGATAACGAATATGGAACTTAAATTATATTTTTTCCATGGTCGAGTGATAGTTTTTCAGAATTAAAATATGGGAAGCAATAAAAGTTTATCTATATATATATACGTCATGGAAACCTATAAATTACATGATCCGTTGACATATAGTTCGCTAATAGGTTTTGCACTTTTACTTATTTTCTTTACTTTCGCTTATTTTCAATGTATCTCTTTTATTTTTATTTAATTAAATTAATTTGAAAATAATAATAATTAATTATTTATTATTTTTACATTTTTTTCTAATATATGTTAACTAAAGATAAAATATAATAAAATAAAATTTGATAATATTGTACTTGGTTTTCTTATTATATTGTTAATATATTATATATTTTATATTCATATAAAATTTCATGATGATACATACAAAATATAATGAATCATTGAAATTTTCTTTTTTTACAGTATAGATAAAGTACCAAAAGTGACATCTCCTGTTTTGGTAATTCATGGAACTGAAGATGATGTAATAAATTTCAATCATGGTTTAGCAATTTATGAGAGATGTCCAAGAGCAGTAGAACCATTATGGGTTGAGGTATATAAGATTTTTCTTTTTTTTTTAAGTACTAAAGAAAAAAATTATATAAAAATTATATAAATATAAATATTTATATTTTCATCAGGGTGCTGGTCATAATGATGTAGAATTATATGATCAATATTTAGAGCGATTGAAGCAATTTGTAAGTGTAGAACTGATAAACTGACGGCGACTAAGCCTCTCCCAGAATCAGGGGGGGCAGGGAGGAGGACATACACATGTGAGCAGTCAAGGACACACCACTTCTAATAATTCAAACACTACCAGTTCTATTTCAACAAGCTCACAGACTGAAAAGCTTGTCTAGCAATCGCCTTCCACAGGGGAGAAGGCACCTGTCCTCCCCTGTGATGAAGAATCATCTTTCGTTTCTATAGATGATGGATTCTTTTTTCGTGATCAACAGATGGATATTAATCAGAAAATTCATCATAAAAATTCTTTAAAGGAAACATGTTCTGAGGATGATGACTCAAGTTTAGATAGTAATTCAAAAAAAGCTATTCAACAAGATGAAAAAAATATGAAAGAAGAAGAATTGATAACAAATATTCAAGATAAGAAACATAATAAAACAATATTGGAAGGTACTTCTATTCGCCATAACTTTCGATTAAATCATATTAGTCAAGTTGCAAAAAAACATATTCTTTGCCAAAAAATATAAAAAATCCATTTACTAAAAGTCAAAAGAATATTGTCCATAGGACTTTAAAAAATTCATTTGGTCAAGGTCATAAGAAAGCTGATATACAAATATCTCATACAACTTTAGTTGACATACAGGTTGAAGACTGCCGACAATATACTATTGAAGAAAAGTCATTGTCATCATATTCCAATATATCTAATGATAATAATAAAAGTATTTCAGATTGTAAAAATAGTCAAAGTCAGTTCAAATCAGAGAAAAAATCTCCTATAAATCAGTTCAAATATAGCAGTATAGAATCTGTGTTGGATTCAGAATGTACTAAAAATAATAAGAAATATTGCAGTAATAAAATTCTAAATAAAGATACAACTGTAAAAGATAAGAAGCCTGAAGAACATGATACACAGGTCCATCATGAAAAATCAGTAGAATCTACAAAAAAGTTTTCATGGGGTAATAAGAGCAGTAAATTTGCAAGTAAGAGTTTTGAAAAAACATATAAAGATAAAGGAAAAAATGATTCTATAGAGAAAAAATTGAAAGCTAAAAAAATTCTTTGCAGTCCTTTAAGAAAATTTGGTCGATCATCTTTGACAATCGAACCGGATAAAATTATGATAAATTTACCAAAGTGTTCTCCTTGCGCTTGTAGATTGGCTGCAAGTTCAAAAATTTTATCCAATGATTCCAGTTTACTGTCCCGATTTACTATAAATCGTGAAAGTCCTCATCATGCTGTACGTTCGAAGAGTCCGTCGCATATAGACGTACAAACGGATATTAGTTCGAAATCTTCAGAAAGGACATCAATGCAGACTAATTTATTTTCAAATATACAACAATTTAAAAAATCACGATATACGCCTCGAAGCAGAAGCGTCGGTGAGTTGTGCAACATTGTCAACAAGTGAAGCAGTCTTGAGTTATTCATCTATTAGAATGAAACTATTGTTTCTGGACAAAACTGGACTTCCAACATCGTCAGTTGAATGCTCAGGAAATGTTTATTCAAAAATTAAAGAGAAAACTATATATAGAACACTCTGATAAAATTTAACAAAGCAACTTTAGAGGCAAAGTGTTAACTAAATAACATGAATCCCACAAGTTGTCGCTCCATTATTCTTCCATATAACTTTAAAGAAATCATAGATTTATACGCACGACACTTATTCGGGCTGTAACAGTGCTAGTGAGACTGTGCACATAAATACACATGTAATACATACATAAAATTTATTATATTTCTAGAGATATGAAATAATATATCTGTGCATATTAAATATTCTTATTACACATGCGCACACAACTGGTGCATGCGTGTGTATGTTGTAAGCCGTTTTTACAGTGTATGCTGTGGAACGTTGTTACGACAAATATGTCGAGTATTATTATTATTATTTTTATTATCTTCCTTAAAATTAGGGAGTCGAATTGCTTACATTGAAATACTTTCTGCTACCACGAATGGTACTATACTTGCCTGTAGCAAGTGTGTGGTATGAAAATTCTTCGCTGAACCTATATTTCTTAATTTAAAAATTTCAATATAATTTTATATTATCATTGGTTAATTAAGAATTTGTTTATCATCATTCATTATGCATTTAAATTTATTTTTCTAAAATTTTTCTAAAAAAGAATAAGCTACAATTAATAGATTCATTAATGAATATAAGATATATACTTTGCATTGAGTGTTTTTTTTATGATACAATTTTATAAATTAGGTTCAGCGGTGAAACAAATGTAATGTGAAATCGCATGTTTTTATAAATAAATCGCTGTCACTGTGACCAGTGTATATGATAGCTGTATCGATAACGAAAACATTTGTTTTTATATTGACCCACAGCAAAGGCCTGTGCAGTGAGCAATGGAAATCTTCCAAGATAGCAAAGAATTTAGAATAGAGATTAAAAGTTAATGGATAGCGTTAAGAAATCGTGTAAGTGTGAGACGTCATAAAAGACGCTACGTTTTATTGACAATGAATGAGATGATGAAATAAAAACAATAAGAATGCAACTAGATAGGGACAATATTACTGCCAAACTTGATTATGAATTAGTTTATTTCTAAAGAGATGAATCGTTTGGAGGATCTTGTCTATAGGTATGTTTCTTGTTAGTATTTTTATATCTCGATAATGTAAATACAGTACAATTAAATAATTTTTTCTTCATTAGTGTATGTATAATGTATGCGACAACGTGACTGTACGGAGCCAATGGAATGAATCGGCGCTAGTACATGTATGTATTTCTGTAGAAATTTTTTTTTAATTTTGAGTTTTCTTGAAAATTTCTACCCGTCCTGTTATTTTTTAAATAATAAATTACTACGAATGTTTTCAAATTATGAGTATAAATTGAAATTAAATGTATATGTAATTGTAATGGTATGAATGAATGGAAAGTGAATATAAAATTGTTAAAATTTAATTAAAACAAAAAAAAAGTCTAATGAATTACTATTGCAAAATAATTAAGAATAATGTATAATTTTCGTTACTTTATCTATAAGTTTGATATTCTTAATTGTTATTATCTATGTTGTTATCTTCAAATATTAATTTTGTTACTTATTTTGCATTGTTATTTTATTAACTATTATCTAATTATCAATCTTTATATTCACTTTCCTTTAATATTAATCTCTTAGAATACATTATGATGCATTATAGTATCGAGATAGAAAGTCCGATACTACTCTTCCATTGGCTTTCACGTAGCCGCTATTAAATTGATCTGTATCGATCGCAATTCTAATATCTATTTCGTAACTTGTGAAAAAAAAATTTATACTGTTGTTTGACAAATATCCAGTTTTATAGACGGTGAATATTTCAGAGAGCGAATTTTATAGTAAACTTAGTAAAAACAACATATACATATATAGAATAACAAAATGATCGGTGCTCGACGAAAAATAGATTTGGTCGTATATAAAACTGGATAAAAAATAACTTTTGTACAGGATATTTCGAACGCATACGTGTCCCCTCTTTCTTCTACTTTCATTCTCGTTTTCCATCGTGTTTTTCTCTCTTTCTCTCTTTCTCTCGCTCATTTCTTTTACTATTTTTTTATTATCCTACTCTGTCTCTCAATACGCGTCAAGCAATCGACCGGTTTTGAACAGCACTTTCGTCTTTCATAATTGCATCGTGCTGGTAGAATGGTACTCAATGGTCTTTTTTTTTTTCTTGGGTATCACGCGAATCACGGTGCGGTATTCATAACTGTACATATTAGCGTGTAAGTGAAATATTAGAAATAATATACTCGATGTTCTGTTCGGTCGTATCTAATGTACTTACGGGAGAAGATAGGTTAAAGAGATGGGAGGGAGGAGATAACAATGATAGAGATTACAAGATCCCTTGAATCGATCGTTAGTCATATGTCATATGTATCACAAAATGTAGTCATAAAGTGAATTAGTTGATTAGTTGTTTGATAAATAAATAACACGTAGCTCATTACAAAATTAATTGTAACACAGGAAAGAGAAGAAAGAGAAGAAAGATGAGTATCGTTTATCTCGGAGTAATGAAATTATTGTTTTATTTAGCGCATAAAGATATAATACCAGCCGAAATAACATTATTTCTTATGAGATTGTGTAGAATGCATAGTCTGAAACACATTGCTGGGCACCCGATTAGGGTTGTTTTAAGATTTTATACTTCGATCGCACTTGACTTGAGCGTACTGCATTGCAAAATACTTTATTAATCTTTGCGAAGTCTAAAATAATATATAATTATTATGTATGTAAATCATATTCACAAGCTCGCATTATTCAATACAACTTGTTTTAACTTGTTTGTTGTTCCTTTATCGAATAAATCATTTCCCACAGGAATCATTCTTATCCTTTTGTTTGAGCGATTGGTCGTCATATACATTACATTCGTTAAAATGATAGAATTGTATTTAAATAATGCAGCCGCTCATTGTCATATTTTTCTAAAAATCGAAATTGTATATGTACTCGTAATCTCATTTCCTTTTTTTAAAAGCATTTTTCTCTTTTAGTTAGTATTGATCATTGCAAATTGGTATCTGTAATTAATGCTATTGAAGTAACAATGTTAATAAAATCCTATAGAAATGACAGTAAAAAATTTCTGCGTGTTTTGTCCATTAATAATAATATAAGATCCAATTGCACGTCCTTTATCAAATTAAAAATTTTTCCTAAATGTACTGAAATATATACAATACAAGTTCCTTGAAAATATGAAATAAAAATTTTTCTTTAATATATAATAAAGAAATATATAATACAAATTATCAAAGATTGAACATTTCTTTTTAAATTATTTTTTTTGTTTAGACATTTAGTGCATTATTTATAAATTAAGTTAAGAATATTAATTATATGTATTTGAAAATTCTTTTTTTCTTTCTTAGTATCCATCAAGTTTTTTTTATTGGATTGAAGAAGCAGACTGTTCCTGAGCATGGTTTTAAATTTCACAAAGGGTAAAACGCTGTTGCAATTAGTTTAGATAGTTGTTAGGCAATCGCATAATTCCGGTTATATTCTCAAATAACGATAATACGGTGCAACGTTTGCATTGATCGTCGGCATTTTGTCCTGAAGGTCAATGCGTTTCTATGACGAGGGAGAAGGAAATGCTCGAGAACCATGAGCTGGTTCGCTGGACTTGGCTCAGCACCTTCGCAGCTCACCTGCGCTGAAACCTGATGCTGACGATAAAAATGAGAACAGGTTACGCGGCAGCTTGAGCTCCAATGGCTGCACTATACCTTCAAGCAGCCTACAAAACTGCTTCAAAGAAGAGGCAAAATTTTCTGCTACCGTCACGAGAATTAAAATCTATTCGTGATTGTCATCGCCAATGATTTCTTCCATGTGGTTCTGGGTTTCATTTCGTATGTAATCTACGCGAAATTACAATGTAGGTAGATGCTTGTGTAAGTCGTTGTATAACTTTTTTCATTATTTCTAAAAAAAATTTTATATTTCAGAAATAATATTTTTATAAAATATATATTTTATGTTCATATTAATAATTTGAAAAAAAAAAAGAAAGAAATTTCAGATAATAATATGTAAAATGCTAAATAATATTCTTTTATAATTGATATTTTTTTAGATTTCAGATTTATTATTTATTTTGTTGCTTATAAAAATTATTATAAAGAAAAGATTTTTATATTTATCTAAAATAAAAGGAACTTTAGAGTTTTATTTTTTTATAATATTTTTTTATGATATATCGATCTTATCTTATCGAATCTTATACTTATTATTGTTCGAGATTTGAAAATTATTAAAAATAATTTATTTGTGATATTATTTCTATGAATATAGAACGATATACTTTTTTATATTACGATAGATTGCTTTATTAACAACTTGATTTTGCCACGCCCACGGTGTATAGCGTCACGCAGTCTGCTGAACAATTGTACTTATTCCATATCACACGCTGTCGTAGTGTCCATTAGATCGTTTACGCGTCGCATGCATGGCATGTAGGCGTCCAACTTTCTGCCGCTATTTTAAGAAAAAGAGAACATATTACAATCAAAAGGATTAAAATTACGTATCATATATTAAAGATAATTTCTTTCTTGATATATACAAAGTTAATAATAATTGTTGTATAATATTAAAAACATATAAATAGATAAATATGTATATCACTGTTCATTCACATAAAAACACTTTTTATAATCAAAAATTTGATTGAGATTAAGTGATTGTTATAAAAATAATTATCTTTATAGAGACTAATGATTATTACATAGTGAATTGTGTGCTTGAGGATTATATGAAAAGAAAAATTTTTCATGTAATCTTAATTTTTTTCGCGAATTTAACGCTATGTTCGTTTCAAATGAATCGTTTAATGAAAATAAATCACGGTTAAACATTTGCACGTATGAATATATATGTATCTATGTATTCGTAACAAGTATCAAGGGTCTTTGATCGAGACATAGCGTAGTATGTATTGCGTGCAGTATAAGTATCGAAGAATCGTCGAAGGTTGAAGGGACCAAAGAATGGTCAGAAAAGACAGTAGAGTGGGGAGTATGGTTGACGGTGGTGGGGGGTCACGGGGTAAGAAGTGGGGTAGAGCGGGACTATGAGTCGGTAGTGGCGGCAGTTGCGTCTCGAACAGCGCGCGTGTTGTTTCGTTCCGTCCTATACGTGTTATCCTCTCGTGATAGCTATCGAAGCTTTTACGTGCCGACAAAATTTGTTTCTTTTTTTTCATTTTGTGTCGCGACTCGCGCCCACGCGGTATCACAAGGGAAACCGTAGTTACGTGGGACGTTCTATAAAGCGGGACAGTGAATTCGGTGGTGTTTTTCAGTGTTACTTTTCTGTGTTTAACGTTCGTTTATGTTAGAAGACGTAGATGTTAGTTCTCGCGTAGGTTTTACCACGAAGATTTTTTGCTAAACACCCATTGGGATTTTTTTGTGACTTACTTCTTCACGTCGAGGGTTGTTGACACTGGGCGAGTACGCATCGCACCGATCCAGACTATATTTCTGGTGAGTTTGTAAAACTATATTTCTTTATTTCCGGTTATTTTAGGCGGCGTTTGTGTTATTTTTTCCCTATAATATCATTGAATCGTTAATATTTGAATAATTCGTTAATGCGAAGTTGACCGGTGATAGAAGATCTTGTTAGGGTCTTCTATCACTTTGTTAGGGTCTTCTATCACCTTGTTAGGGTCTTCTATCACCTTGTTAGGGTCTTCTATCACAGTTCGAAGCACTTATGTTTAGTCGCTTAGATCGAAAAATATCGTGAATACGAACCGTTGTCCGGTGCAATTAAGAATGCTAGTAGCGTGCAAAAGTTGCATGGCGTTTGGCACGAAGTGCAATAACGGTTGGTTTATTCTCGTACAACTGCTGTATCCTTTGTCATAAATAGTAAATACACGTGTGCCGCGACGACGCCAACATGCCGTGATGTGTCGACTCTAGCGTACGTATGCGTTAGAAAATTTACGCGCTCCGATTGGCGTTTTTCTTCCACTGTTTTTTCTTCTCTATCATTTCATGTATATTATTTCAAAATACGAAATGAACAGCATCTTTATATATATTAGAATATAAAAATTTTTAATATTTAATCTCTCAATATTTCGCAGTATGCTTACGACAAAGTTCGCGTAAACAGTATGATATCATCATTCAAAGCTGTTGTTTCGTTTTTCTTTCGTTCTTCTATTATTTCTTAGAATTTGTGCCTAATGTTATCAGAAACGTAAACAAACAGGTTGAAATTTTTGAGAATCGAAGAAATGAAATTCTACTCTATTTACGGTATCGTATAAATAAATAAATTAATGAAATATCTTTTTCTATTATAATTTTATATATTTTTACATTCGTTTCGTTTCTTTTCACGCTCCATTATTAAGCGTCGTAATAGCATAATATTTTCGAAATTTATTACTATCGCGCGTGTAACGTTAATGCTAGATGGCGCGAGTATTTAACGAGGTAAATTCTTTTCAAATATTTTCACCGTGACATATTGGCAGAGAAAAATGAAAAATAAAGCATACGGCTTGAGCGTACGTTTAGCTGTGCGACGGAAGTTTAGAAAGTCGTAGCCAATCGTATATATATGCTGACCGGCTACCCGGCCATTCTGTACGCTCAGAACCGGTTTCGAGCTTTTCGCCTGAGGGGCCCCACGACTTGAACGTAACGACGCGTGGTGGTCGACCACGATAAGCTTGTAGTCATATTGGGCCTGTATAAGACTAAAGGAAAATGTTCCAAATATAACTATCGAGTTTTATTATTTTTATATATATATATATATATATATATATATATGTACGTTACTTTTTT